GTCCCGTGCCACCGCGCAGGCCTCCCGGGCACCCGGCCTCGCTCACTGGCACTATGGGCTTCCGTGTCATTCAGTGTGGAGGCCACCGCCGTTAGGGACGGGCGAGGCTGGGGCTCTGATGACATAAACTCTCATCTGGCCACACAAAGACGTCTAGCCAGAGCGCCCAGGTGCTGCGGCCGTAACAGGGTCCCTGCCACGGCCACCACGCCCGCACGGGGGCAGAGGGGACCGGGGCACAGCGGCGTTTCTCACGGCCGCTGTGGGCGCAGCCTCGTGCCCCGGGTCTGCATCCAGCACACGCTCCTACCGGGCACCCGGCACGCGTGCCTGGCACCGAGCGTGTGACCGTGTGCGCCTGGCACTGTGTGTCTGACTGTGTGTGCCTGATTTGTGCACCCTGTAATGTGTTCCTGGCACTGCGTCTGAGTTTGTGTGCCGGGCACTGCGTGTCTGACTGTGCGTGCTTGGCATTGTGCACCCAGTATTATGTGCCTGGCACCGAGCGTGTGACCGTGTGCGCCTGGCACTGTGTGTCTGACTGTGCGTGTCTGACTTCGTGTGTTTGGCACTGCGTGTCTGACTCTGCGTGCCCCCGTTCCTGGTGTCTCCAGCATGTGTCCGTGAACGTGTGCCCGATGTGGGGTGTGGCATGTGTCCCCGGCACTGTGTGCCTGGTGTTGCCTGCTTGGCTGTGTTTGCCCACCGTGCATGCTTGGTTCTACGTGCGCGGTGTGTGTGGCACTGTGTGCATGCACTGTGTGTGTGGCTTGGTGTCTGTGGTGCCGTGCGTGTGGCACGGTGTGTGCGGCACTGCCAGGATGCAGAGGAGGCCTCTGTCCCTAATCCGATGCTGGCCCGAGGCAGCGTGACACCTCACACGTCACACGTCCCCTCCAGCATCGCCCTCCAGCTCTGCGGGGTGCGGAGCTGCTGCGGCCTCTCCGGGGAGTGACCCCTGCTTCCCGTCACCCACAGACCTCTCGCCAGCCACACCTCCGGGTCCCAAGGCGGCCTGTGTCCGCGAGAACGCCCTGGACCAGCATGTACCCTGTGTGAGTCCCCAGGGCCAGCAGGATCCACCAGGCCCAGTCTGCGGACGGCACCGAGGTGCCGGTTCACCGTGTCTGCCTCTCCTAACGGGCACGGGGCTCAGGCATCTCGGCCTGGCCGAGTGTGACCGGCTCCTGATGCAGCCACCAGGTGGCAGAGCTCTCTCTGTCCAGGGAAAGCCGTGTCTGGTCACCTTCTCTCGAGGCTGGACAGGGACCACTGCCTGTCGCACGAGGCTTCCCGGGATGGACCCCTCTGTGTGGAGACGGGGCGGCAAACGCAGAGGTGCATGCGGAACGCGGCCCCCCACAAGCAGAGGGGACAGGCTTCGTGGTGGGGGGACAGCTGGACGCACAAACACAGCTGTGCTTGCCGCATAGCGGATGGCGAAGGTCCTCGCT